ATAATCGCACATAAATCTCTGAAAAACATTGCAAAAGAAAACATGCACTTTTCTTTGTCAAAATCGTAATATCATGCACAGAATATTCATAGGCTGCCCACAACGACGTATGCGCAAAATTTTTTTTAAAACCATTATCATCCAAATGCAACTAGTTAATGTAGTGCCTGTATTTGATAATTTGTTGCGCTTTAGTGTGCTTTTGTGTACTTTGACGTAAAAAGCTATGAAATATTTCGACGATTGAATCAGAAAACTTGGGAAGCTCTGCCTTTATCGTCTCTAAGATCAGGTGATTGTTTAATTCTCAGTAGAAAATATCGGAAAGATACATCAATAGCGTCTTTGAATAGTTTTTGCGGCTGAACCTAAAAAACACTGTCCAAACACGAAAGCAAGATTCAAAGTAAGCATTAAAATCACCAAATCGAAAAAATATAGTATAAATATCTAAAACAAAAGGAATTGTATTGTCAAGAATATTTTTAAGTGCAAAATATTTGGCATTTTTACATAGCGGTCCAAATTTTGTTTCGACAGTTGTAGATATTTCTTGCCATGCACTATGAGAAATCTCTAAAAGGAGATTGATACGCCACGGCTTAGGATTTTGCGCAAGAGGCTTATTTTCTCCGAAAATATGATGATACATTGCAGTAAATAATGGCCGATATTGAAGAAATACCAATTCTCGGCTATTTAATGAAATATACAAGAGGCCTATAATAGGAAGAAAGGACAAAATATCATGAGTGATATTTGATGCATTATTATAATATAAATAATATGAAATAGCTGTTTGAAGGTGGATCTGTCCAGGCCAATCAGCTACTAGAGAAATAGCATATCCATGTTCAATGTATCACCGTATAGATAGAACTTCTGTAACCACGTTAATCGCTTTAATATATTCTTTCATCATATGAAGGCTATTTTCTTGCAAATCTACAAGGACTACATCTTTCATTGAACGAATGTGACGCTTTTCCTTCAATCTAATATCGTAAGAGTGCACAGTTAATTTATCCAATCGTGTATCATCATTAACTGTGTGAAATCCCCAACGTGTGATAGTCATCAATATTTAACACCATTGCTTTATCAGCATACTTGTCAAGTTCAGAATCAACGACTGTTGCGTGTTCTTCAGATGCAGAATTCTTAACTCGTATGATTTTACAAGACGTAGTGGTAAAACCTAAATCTGCAAGTATGTCTATAGAAGCGTTAAAAGCGCCTGTTGAATCTATATATATTGCTAAATCTCTCTTAACATTGGTAATAAGCCTATTTCGAATTCTATATAAAAAATAACACAAAAGCAAAAGTTGTTTTTTTACCTGTAACTGTGAATCTTCATTTTTTGAACGCGGGTTAGCTAACAAATACAGCTCCTTAAAAAAAGGCTTTAATCTTGCATCCTCTCCTTCTATAACCACTCAAAATTCATCAAACGAATATATTGTTGGCTTATTTTCTTTTTTTTCACGACTGTAGAGAATATCCATTATAATCTTTACTGCTTCAGAAAAAGACAAAGAGTTATTCTCAGCTTCAACAGTTTTGGCAGCTTCAGATCGCTCTTCACAATTAGCATTCTCAACCTTGATCTCAATTTCAGATCGTGTACTGGCTTAAGCATGTTGCTGAAAGGCCAGTGAACAATTTACTACGATTCTATTATAGCAGTTTAGGCAAAGCATGTCACCTATTTTTATATAATCTGGCAAAGTTTTATTAGTTTGGCCCTTGGAAATAACGTTTTCAGTTACCTTTTCCATTTTGCTGATTGAAGGCTTTGGCAAATGTAATAGTACATCTAGTCATTTTTGCTTCTAAGTAAAGTTTTTCGTTTGTGGGATTATTTTGGGATTATTTTGCACAGTGAAGGGCAACACTTTTTTGAAACTAATTATGAAAAAAAAATTTATCTTTCATAAGTAAAATGGTGAAACGTTACGGTTTAAAAAAGTACTTTAAACTGTATAAATTAGTTACCTGGGTAATTGATTCGGATCAGCCAATCAGAAGCTTGTCATCCATACATATCACAAGTCTTGCTATATTAACAATGGATCCAAATGCTTACATTGCCTCGTATTTCTACAAGAAGACATCGACGAACAAGTTCAATCCTTACTAGATTCATTAAAAGGGTTAAGAGCGCCTAAGAAATGAGTTAAAAAACGCGATAATGATTCTCTTTGTGATGATAAGGATAATGAATGTGGACCAGTAAAATATTCAGCATCTGAATTAGAAGAAGCATTAAAAAATTTTCACTCATTACATTATTTATAGACAAAATTTTAATTTATTTATTATTATTATTTTAAATTTGATTAAATTATATATATATTATGAATACATTGTTTTTATTAAATTAAATTATATATATTATATTACGAATATATTAATCGTTTTTTATTAAATTAAATATGATTATTAAATAGTGTTTGAAAAATTTTGCATTTATCACATATTTTTCTAAAAATAAAATTTTCGTTTTTGCCAAGAGATGAAAAATAAATAGAAATAAATAAAAGCCTTCATTTGAATGAAAATGGATCTTTCCAAAGATATTTTATACAAATATCGGCTCACGAAGTAAATGATTCGCCTCTTGTTAATAGATGTAGTGATTCGCCTCTATATAATCTTGTAACTTGCTTGTTGGTGTTTATGTTTTGGACCTAACACATAAATATGAATGTTGCTATCTTGTTTGTGTGTTCTAAAAGTAATAAAAATAAAAAATTTTGAATATAATACTGTAATAAAAAAAAAAGTAAGTTTTTTTCTACAATAAATTAATTAGCCGCCAAATATTTTTTGATTAATTTGATTGGTCAATATTCATGCAAAGATCTACGTAATTAACCAATCACGTGCTTGTCTTCCTATGAGGGTGAGCTACATACCTGTATTTTTAAATATATTCTTTTTTTCTTGGATTAAATTAATAATCAATAAAGCATAGGCATATAACATGATTACTTGAAAAAAAATAAAAAAATAAAATCTTATAATCTATAATTAAAATTAAATAAACTTTAATTTATTTTAATAGATAAATTAAACAATATAAAATTTATTTTATTTTGATTGTTATATTATAAGTTAAGCTAATTAATTACAATATTTTTTGTTTGCAATTTTTTTATTATTCTTATAAAAAAAATAAAATAAAAAGCTTATAAACCTTCTTTTTGTTTTAAATAAAAAAGACAAAATTAATAGCTTTTAAAAAAGTTATAAAACATATATAATAAAATAAAAAATAAAAAAATATATATATATAAAAAGACTAGATAAAGAAATAAATAAATAAAAAAAAACAAATACTTGTTTAATACTAAGTTAAAATAATGTAATTCTTTTAGTATTAAATTTTTAAAAAATTATAAAAAAACTTCTGCTATTGCAAATAAAATTTATTAAACAAATTTTAAAAAATTTTAATACTATATTTAATTTTAATATAGTGTAATAATTTTTATTAAATTTATAACAATAAAAATATTATGTATACTGTATACGTATACTAATAAAATTTATTAATAATTTTTTAAATAATATACAGTATATACTGTAAATAAAATTTACTGTATTTGAATTTCAGCAAAAAGTATATCGCCAATTAGCAGTAATTTGGTACGTAATCAATTATCACGTGAGAATTGGTGGCGTTCGCCCACCTGTACCATCGCAATACGTATAACTTTTGATTAAAGATGACTCAGTTTTCACAAAGAGGAATATCGATAATCGATCACCATTTGTATAACAGAATGAAATACTTTTACCCAATAAACATCAACGCTAACATTAGGAGATTATAAGACTTTATGCAATATAGTCGATCAAAATTTGAAATTTTCTAACTATGATGTCACTCGATTAGGAAGTAATACATGTGATCTTTATTTGTTACATAACATATTAACGAGGTGGTACTAGAATGTTATGTGGTACTTCCAGAAACATGCACTTCAAATTTTTTATTTTTTGATTTTCTTTTCTCTTTTAACCGTCTCAAAAATTCGCAGTAACTCTCTGATTAAGCTGATTAAACTGCATTATCCGTATATCTTGTTTTAGATTTTATGCTATATAAAAAAAATTAAAGGAATGAGTCAAAATCAAAGGAATTATTTTTATCTTTATGAAGCAGTTTATCCTGAGCTAACTTTAGTGCCAAATACAATAAGTAAGTTTGCAATCTTTTTTTTTTCTTTTTTTTTTGAATATTCACATAAAATAGAAGCATAAAATGAATATAAGCATCAAGATCAGACAAAATTCTTTATCTATCATTAAGATTTTTTAAATTTATGGTTTGCTTGACGACAACTGCAATAATTGAATTGAAAATTTATTTAAAATACATACATATTGACTTTGATCTTGTACGATTTAATGTTGAATTATATATAATTTTAAAGCTTAACAATTTGTAAACCGTAAAGGAGTAAAGGACATTTTTCACTTCATTTTTGTTATATCAACATCATTTTGATTATTTCAATAAACAATTTAGGGTTCGGAGATCCTGAAAATTCTGTAGATGACGACGATTCAGTAGCAAGTTCAGATAGCATCGATAGTCACGAGTTTGATTCATCTTATAACAGTGATGAAAGTGAGGAATTGTTCTTTCAAGTTTATTCGGAAGATTTTTTCCCTAATAATAACAGCGATAAAGTTACCTCAAATAATAAAAGCTCGAAACATGATATGATGGTTCAAAATAATGATTCAGTAGGTGAAGGAAGTTCGCTTCAAAGTAACGAAAATAGAAAAGAGAGCAATTTTCCCAATGAAGAAAGCATATTTCAGAATATTAATAGAGAAAGAGTTGTTAATTCTAACGTTATCAGAAGAGTTACTTTCAATAATTCAAATGGCATAAATGCGTTGCAGGGCATTATTAAAAAAGATGCATGTTTTGATAACGAAAACATATTGAAGGACAATTCTATTAAAAAAAGATATTCTGATAAAGAATATACATTACAGGATGGTCCGGAACATAATATTGACAACTTCGATCAACAAATTGCTGATGGATATTTAGCTTCTGATCATTCGGAAGTTTCATCACAAGGAAGTTTTGATTTGTTGTCAGATAATAATTTAAGTGACTTTGAATCACTTCAAGATATGCTTGATTTTGAAGCTGAGAATGAAGAAGATATTCTGGACGAAACTTTTGATAATTCTATACAAAAGACTTCCAGTTACAAAACAGAATATTTTAATAAAACATTGAATGAAGAAATAAACAACGATTCCTCTCAGCAACTAGTTTCACATGAAGATAAAAGTTTGGAACATAATTTGTTTCAGGTTCATGATGGTGATTTCATTAGTTCCTCAACCACAGCGCATTTCTCGGTGCCTTTATCATATCCATTGGTTGTTATAAATTCGGATGCAAGTGTACCATACATTACACAATCAAAATCATCGATGCCATTGACTCCGAAAGAAAGAAGTTTGTCATCTTCAGGAGAGAGATTTGAATCACCGACAACTGGATTACCTCAATCTGAATTCATGTCACCACCTTCATCTTTATCATCGAAAGATCCACAAGATGAAGAACGCTATGATACCCGTAAAAAAGATGAGAAGGTCAGTCGTAGCAGCCGTTCGAGAAGTGCAGAAGCAAAGTTCCATGCTTTACGTTCTCGATCGGTTAAGTATCAAGGTTCGAGTAATAAGCAATCTCGTCAAGGAGGACATCATTCTGATCACACTCGCATGAAAAAAAATGGCATGTCACTTGTATGTCGTAATTAGTGAATCTATTTGAACCAGTCTTTTTGGATTACGACATTACTACATAGTTTGGGTTTGGAAATTGGGATGATTTTTACATCATTTGGGCTCAAACTCAAACCTAAATATATGTTCTAAATTCAAGTATACATTCCATTTTTAATAAATAGTATCAAATAACAGATCAAATTCGATTGGTATAATCAATACACTCTAAACTGAACAAGCTAGTCGATAGGCCCGGAATATGCATTTGCACTCTATATATTAAATGATTTGTATATAAAATTAGCTAATAATATATGCAGCACATGATCTATTTTTGATTACTGATGTCAGAGATATTAAATATGAGTGCCAGGCTTTCAAGTTCATAATTTTATCAGGCTTAGGTTGTTCTCAAGCAGCTTTTCATGTGATTTGTTAGTAATCGAGATACGTATTGCTGATTAAATGAAATTAAATGAAAATTAAATGAATTAATATGAATTCCTATAAATTATTGCCGAAAGTTTATGATGCGAAGTGTGAATTCTAAATTTGTCAGCCAAACTGGGTAATTTTATAAAAAAGATAGTTAAACCATAGACGGAGGCGCTTATGAACAGCTGACACATGCAATATGCATCATACATGTTTAGTGATCATATCTTTAGCGGTTGAGTTAGATAATAATAATAATTAATCTAATATAGTAACAATATACACTTTATTTATTTTATAAACTCGGTTTAGAAGTAGCCTAGTCTGCTCTAATCTAATCTTCAAAAAAGTTAGCGTTCGGATTTAAAATTAGTAGATTATAAATTATTAGACAATAAAATGCACAATTCTAACTTTAAAAATAAGTATATATTATTTATAATATTTTAATACGTAAATTATACGTTTAATATCGTAGTATATATAAATATTTGCAAACCATAATAACCAATAAAATTTAGAGTGAGTTCCAGGTTAAAGTAAAATTACATTTTTACTTGGAATAATTTGGTAAACCGTAAAAAATTTTTAATTTTTTATCGAATAAACTTATATAGTTATGATAACATTGTACTATACAGTGGTCTGAGCGCATTGCCTAATTGGTCGTGATTTTTTTTTACAAAAACTCAATTATATTGTGATCCAGTAATCCAAATTGGATGGTTTTGATATCATTCGATTCGTCTCGATGAGACGAATCGAATGATATCAAAATCATCCAATTCGGATTACTGGATCACAAGTTATTCTCAAATAACGATTCAATGAATTACGCCGTAATACAGCCGTAATTCATTAAATAATTTTTCGCGAATATCTTGTGATTCAGTGATCCGAATTGGATGATTTGGGTACCATTGATTCGTCTTATCGAGACGAATTGAATGATGTCAAAATATCCAATTTGGATTACTGAATCACGATATAATTGACCGATTATGGCATTGCGCTCACACCACTAATGCTGTATTACATATTATTAGGGCTAGGTGCTACGTAAGAAAGAGACCAAACTGACAAAAATAAGTTTTGCGAAAATTTGATTACAAAGTTCAAAAGAATATACCGTAAAATTTTATTAATACAATATCTTTTTTAAGTGAAAATTGTTTCTAATCTAATTTGAATTGGTTAGGCTTAAAAAATTTTCATCAAAAAAATTATCAATTTGGTTTCTTCCTTAGCATATAACCTATTTTTTTATTATGCTATTATTGAATTACTGTGCTTGGTATAAAAATTATATTTGAACTAGAAGTATTTAAAAATTTTGAAATTAAGAGTAAAATATTAGCACAAAAATAATTAAATATTGCACTTACTTGTAAATAAAATTATAATTTAAATAGGGACCTGATATTTCCACACCTGTTTTTTTTTATTTCCATACCCCCATGTAGATTACTCATTTTTAAAAACTTCGATAGAAGGTATTTCGGCAACTACATAACCAAATTTGATGGATTTTTTTTATTTGAGTTCTACATTTATGTAGAATCCGAATAAAAAAAAGCTCATCAAATTTGGTTGGATGATTGTTGAGATACATTCGATGAAAGTCGAAAAAAAACATATATCGCAGCTAATATTTTGATTGATCGAAGATATCTCGGTAACCACCTAACCAAATTTGATGAGCTTTTTTTTTTTATTTGAATTCTACGGATCTATAGAATTCAAATAAAAAAGTTTGTTGAATTTGGTTGGATGGTT